ACCTATTTAGAACATACCTGGCTAGAAGAGAGAAAGTATGTCCCCTGAAGCCCCATAGACCTGGGTCAAATCCTAGCTTCCCTAGTCGTGTGATCTGAATAATGTCTCTGAGTCTCAGTTTCCTTTTTTTGTGCAATGGTGCATTTATTTCACAGGGTTTTTGTGTAGTTACTTTGCGAAGAGAGAGAAATCCTCATCTTGGTAAGGTTTGCTCCAGGTTCATTGGAGACATTGAGTTACATCAATGTCTAAGTCAGAGAATGGATGGTGAGGGGGTTTTGAAAATAGAGTCAAAACTTTCAAAATCTGGTAAGAATATGGATTGGGATAAAGTCTGAGAATCATGCAATTTAAAGCAATATAATTTCCACTTAGAATGGCATGTATTATATGTTAATATGGATTTAAAAATTTTTTAAAATTTAAATTCAATTAATTAACACAATTTCATATGAGTGCTATTGTGGAATTTCAAATTGGGGAGCAATATCTCTATTTAGTGAATAATAAAGCAAACTTTGTGAAGGCAAGTGTAGAATGTGACGGAGCAGCTTAAATGTAATTGAAAATCTCCCCTTCATATTAGGGATGGACAGTAGAAATAATCCAAAGAGATGATTTTACTGAATAGATTATATTTAATCTAGTTGCTCTATCCTCACAATCTATGAACTCATTTAGATAATGGTCTGGCTGGTGGTGCTTGCAAGTCCAAGTTAGAGCATTAGATATTCTGTGCAGAGACAAATATAATGAGCTATCTAAAAAAAAAAAAAGCCTTGTTTTTACTTCGGTGTAATATTAAGCAGGATGAGGTACATTGTATCTAGGGTCTAAAGTTGAATATGTAAAATAAATGGACTTCAACAAAATGATTTTTTTTTGTGCTATTGCGATGGGATGTAAGTATCAGATTTGTTTTTGGTAAGAATGGAATGATTCAAATTCATGACATTATCATGTTCTCTGTAAATCTTGTTTCTATTGAATGAAATAAAAAACAGTAGTATTTCCATCTTTAGAAATAGCTAGTATTTCCTAGCTGGTAGATTAATCTTGGGTTGCTGATTTAACGTATCTTAAAGATTTTATTTATTTATTTATTTGAAAGAGAGTGAGAGAAACAGCATGAGAGGGGATAGGGTCAGAGGGAGAAGCAGGCTCCCCGCTGAGCCGGGAGCCCGATGTGGGACTCGATCCCAGGACTCCGGGATCATGACCTGAGCCGAAGGCAGTCGCTTAACCAACTGAGCCACCCAGGCGCCCGACTTAACGTATTTTAAAGCCCACATCCTTTTGGGGTGTACAGATGGAGGAAAGTTAGAATTAACTTGTACAACTGTGGCTTCATATTGCCAAGAAGGATCAGTGGGTTCAGATAATTTTCCAGCAGAAAAATCAGGCAAGTTATTTCCTCAGTGTCTTTTGAATGTTTTATGGAGGTTTTTTGGAGGTTTTTCTAGTGAGATACAACCGTTGGATTGCTTTTGAATAAACAGTCTAGAAATACGAGTAGTGATTTGTTAGCTTGTTAATTTTGAGTGGTAAAGGCTGTCCTATTGAACTCCCAGACATTCTGAGGCTTTTTAATCATTAGCTGTTGGTGATTCTTCATCTTTTTTTTTTTTAAATCACAATCCTCTGAAAAAATTGATAATTATTTCCCAGAAAAATTCAGGTATGCAAATGCTTGCAAAATCTTCCAAATCATTTTTTGAGGATTTACAGACTCCCAAATCTCATTTCAGTAGATGTTGGGAGACTCAGAAGGGCAGAATAGGGGCAGCAAAATCAATGTTGTTTCAAAACTTAAATTCTACCAGGCATTTCCATTCTGTCAACATGTGTTTATTGAACACCTACTATGTTTCAAGGCACCCAGCAGTGAACAAGGCAGAAAAAGGCCTTGAGCTCACGAAGTTTATATTCCGGAGGATGTTGATTGTTAAGGTGAAACATGGTGGTCTTGACCCTCAGAATTAACTCTCGCTGGTACTTGTACATTTCAGGAGCCCCCTTTCTTCAGAAACTGGAGATGATTCTGATTAATTGACCTGACAGTGCATGGCACATCATATTTACTTGGGAGGATTTAATAACCTTAGAGACTCCCAGAGGAAACATGAAAATTTCCACATACTATTATCCTAATGGGATCATAGTAAGAGAAAGTGCAAGCAAAGGTTTAAGGTTCTCACAGGCAGAGGAAGCTTTTGGTCAGTCCTTAAATGCTGTTGGGTTTTTTACCTGAATTCACAGAAGACGGAAAAGTCAGGGCAACAGAAACTGGAAGCAGGGAAGGGAAACATTTTATGGCGATTTATTGTCTTAGGGGAATGAATAATCTGTTTCTTGAGAAGTATATTATTTATAATTTAAAAATATGTGTGTGGAACCATTGTTTTGATAAGTTACAGCAGGAAATATTTTATGTACTTGGGAATTTGGGGAGAGAAAATAATAATCTGGAATATTCTATAGAGGTGGTTCTCAAAGGGTCATTTAGGACCAGCAAAGTTGGTATCCACCACTCCCAAAAACAGAAACCGTGGGGGTGGGGGTGGGGGTGGGGCAGCAGTCTGTGTTTTAATAAGCTTTTCAGGTGGTTCTGATGCTCCCAAAGTTCAAGATCCACTGCTCTACAGTGATGCACAAATTATTGCTTTTTTAATTTGACTCACATTTATCAAACATAAACACGTGTAAGTTGTATTGGGAGCTTTTGAAGTTTATAATGCAATGCACATTTCTTAGCATGTTAATTCTCCTTTAAAATACTCCCATACCTAAAGCAAGTCTAGTTTTATTTTTTTAAGTATCCTAAAATAAGATTTATATCAAATTAGGCCAATTTATATCAAATTAGACAACGTAATTGGAACACCAAGTGTAAGGGCTAACATATAGTAGATGCACTATACATTACAGTTCCCTTTTGCTTTTATCTGCAAGCACTTGTTTTTCTTTAATTTGTCATAGAGATTATTAATTCGCTCTCTTAATTTTACAGTTCGAAGGTGAATAAATTGTAAGCGTATTAAATATTAAACAAACTTAAAATTCTATTTATGGGTTATTTTGGATGTACACCCCTCCGGGCAGCTTATAATATAATATTCTGAAGTCGAATGGAATTTTAGATTTCTGTAGGGCAGAGTTGAGTTTGAGTTTAAGATAAAAGAGAGTGAGTGGTGTAGGAAATACTGCATTTTGACATTGCTTCTGGCACCACCTGGATTTCCCCAGGCCCTACAGCCTGAGAGTGCAAAGGAGTTACCTTGACAATGAAATTAATAATCTACAATTTTCTGGATTTCCTTCTCCATTTGCTAACAGCACATTTCAGCCCCTTCCCCAGAGGATCCCCCAGTTATCTGGGGAGTTTTCAGAGTGTATTTGGATATGCGCAGGAGTGTGGCTGCCCTGGCTCCTGAGTTCTGCTCAGAGTGGGTGCCTGAGAGCCCTCTGATGGCCCTCTGCCACTGCCCCGATGCCCAGAGCCCTGTGTCTGCTGTGCCCTCAAACCTCAGAACCTTCTATAGGTTGACAGGTGCTCAGTTACTGGAAGAACTCACGGGCGCCATATTTTATCATCCAGTGCAAATTCCTATCTAATTTCCCAGTCCCTCCTTCTCTTTCGTAGATACCCACACACTCAATATGGAAGGTCTCCTTCCCTGATGCAGGCTAATACAGACAAATTCAAACTTTGCTGGGGAGGGGCCTGCAGGGGACTGGTTTCCGGGACACGTGGCCTATGCAGTCTTCCACCCACGGCCCCATGCTCAGAAGGGCCCTGTGTTTGGTTTTTATGCTCTGTTGTGGCCATCCCCAAATTTGTAGTAATTTTTGAACACAGGGACTTGCATTTTTATTTTGCACCGTGTTCCTCAAATTAGGCAGCGGTCCTGGGTAGCTGCTCACCATTCAGCAGAGACCCAGACTCTGAACTTCGGTTTAGAGATAGTTTACTAGACACTGCCTGCTTTTTCTTGAGTCTGTTCTTGAGGTTCACATTAACAGTATCTAAACTCTCCTTAAACGTTTCTCAATATCTGGTAATAAGATACTAAATTTAAATATGATTTCTATTATAGGAGTAGAGTCTATCAATTTGCAGGAATCCTGTAACATTTTACTATTATTGACTTTTTAGATACTAAGTCGATTTTGGGATTAAAAAAAAAAAATCACATCTGTTAACGGATTTCCTCCCGTCAAAGGTGGTGAAAGTTTATTTGGAACCACATTAAATCTGATTCATTTGTCAAACACAAATGGAGGACCCGTTCAGTGCTAAGCACAAGGGCCATAAAAATGGAATCATGCCTGTCCCTGTTTTCGAAGATCTCATAACGGACCTAGGGTGACAGATGCAGAGAACAATGATTTCTGCCTGGGGGGCTTGGAGACAAAGTAGGGGAAGAGATTAAATATCATTTAATAGGGGCGCCTGGGTGGCTCAGTCGTTAGGCGTCTGCCTTCGGCTCAGGTCATGATCCCGGGGTCCTGGGATTGAGCCCCGCATCGGGCTCCCTGCTCCGCGGGAAGCCTGCTTCTCCCTCTCCCACTCCCCCTGCTTGTGTTCCTTCTCTCGCTATCTCTCTCTGTCAAATAAATAAAATCTTAAAAAAAAAGGAAACAACCTGGGGCACCTGGGTGGCTCAGTCGTTAAGCGTCTGCCTTCAGCTCAGGTCATGATCCCAGGGTCCTGGGATCGAGCCCCGCATCGGGCTCCCTGCTCTGCGGGAAGCCTGCTTCTCCCTCTCCCACTCCCCCTGCTGGTGTTCCCTCTCTCGCTGTATCTCTCTCTGTCAAATAAATAAATAAAATCTTAAAAAAAAAAAAAATAAATATCATTTAATAAATGCAATACTGCACAGAGGGACTTGGTGTCTGTGAAGACACTGGGAATGTACTTTAGGATTTGAATCATTAAATCCTGGCCAAACTTGTGTTTTGACTCCTGTTTTATCACTGTTTTTCTCCCATGCATTTAGCCTCAGCACCCCAATCCGATGAAGGCTCTGACATTGACTCTGAACCGGATTTGCCACTAAAGAGAAAACAGCGCAGGAGCCGAACCACTTTCACAGCAGAACAGCTTGAAGAACTGGAACGAGCTTTTGAGAGGACCCACTACCCTGATATTTATACCAGGGAGGAACTGGCACAGAGGGCGAAGCTCACGGAGGCCCGAGTCCAGGTACTGACTCTAAACATCCACGCCCTGATTAAATCCGGACCAGGAAACCAAACAGTGTCTTCTCATCTAAGGCAGATTTTATTTTATTTTATTATTTTTAAAGATTTTATTTATTTATTTGAGGGAGAGAGCACGAGCAGGGGGAGGAGCAGAGGGAGAGGGAGAAGCAGAGGGAGAGGGAGAAGCAGGCTTCCCGCTGAGCAGGGAGCCCCATGCGGGACTCGATCCCAGGACACTGGGATCATGACCTGAGTCGAAGGCAGACGCTTAACCCACTGAGCCACCCAGGCGCCCCTAAGGCAGATTTTAAACCCAGAGAATAAATATGTTAGGAATGGTACCTCACTGTGAATTGTAGCCCTTTAGTGGCATAAAGTTCCCACCACGTTCTCTCTAGTGCCTTTTCTTTGTCTTTTGCCCTGTCCTGATGGCACTACTCTGACCTCTTTTTAATTTTTATTTATATTTGCCTGATCACTCCCATTGAATGTCTTTTGTTTTAGGTATGTCTATTGTATCCAGCAGTATTTTAGTTTGCTAACCAGTCAGACAATTTTTTTTTTCTCACTTAAGAGGTGGGTAAGTCGAATTAAATTTATCAGTGTGACCAATATGTTTGGCTCCTTTTCTGTCATGTTGTTGGATATAAGTATTTTATGTGGATAGATTTTAAAATGATCTATTTGTTTTCTTTGCATTCTTAGGGTTTTTTTTGTTGTTATTTACGAAAATGTGCTTTCTTATTTTAGCCTTTGGTTATCATAATTAGGAGAATATGATTATATCAGATATAACACCCAGAAGTGTGTCAGTTCCTGTTGTTCACTCCCCATTTCAGGAATCCTTGTTACATACCAGGCACTATATGGACTTCAGGGGTGGTACACAGATAATAGCAAATAAATTGTGAGTGGTCTCCTTGGACCAAGCACTGTTCTAAGTGCTTTACATGAATTAACCCATTTACTCGTCATTAAAACTGTAGGTTGGTACTATTATTATCCCCAATTTATTTGTCAGACTATTGAAGTAACTACCCAAAGTCCTAAAACTAGTCAATGATAGACGTAGCTGGATTCTATATACTTGCTCTTGATGGCCTTTCAATTATGAGGATGGGCAAAGGTGTATAAAGAAAAATTCCTTCTAAAGGTGTTGTAGTCCTGAAGCATTTCAAGTAACTATATTATTTTAGGAATAGTTTGAATTATCTTCCGAACTTTTAGAAGTAGTCTGAACTCTCTGGAAAGACTACTTTGGTATAATAGGTTTCTATTGATTGATAGAATAACGTTTTCCATATTAATAAAGATAGTAAAACACTGTTTGAAGGCTTAAAAATGTATTAGGGTATCCTGAAACTCCTTAAGTTACCTTATCATCGTCAGAGTGAGGCTGGAGACTCAGCAGTGAACCAGTCAGTTGATATGGTCTCTAGATTGATCATTGCTTTCTCATATGCAGCTGATTACCTCTCTTATTCTAGGTTTTTACAGAAATAGCCTCTTCCAGGGTACAGAGCCTAGTCAGAGTGATTGTCTTATTCAACTTGACTTGCCATATATCATCATAGTGCTAAGAAAGTGAAGGAATGCTAAGATGGATTAAGACAAGTCTCCCAAGGAGCTACAGTCTAATATGGTTAATGAGGTAAACACAAATAATTAAAAAACAAACAGATATGATAAGTACCATAAGAGAGAAAGTGCAGTGGGAGTTGAGAAGAGGAAAGAATGAGATCTTGCTGGGTAACAAAAGAGGCTCACGAAGAAGGCAGATTTAGGATGAACTTTTGAAGCTAAATAGAAATTCTCTGGACAGGGAGGGTGGGGAGAGTACATTAGTAAGAGAGACTAATGTGGGCAAAAGCACAGAGAGTTGGATGCACATGAGTTACATACCTGGTGATCTTTCATTTTTGCTCATGTCAAAGGAACAGGGAATAGTTCAGTTTGCTTGGAGGGTAGGAAGAGGTAGGGTGGCGGGGAGGAATATGGTTGGAAATCTAGGCTGAGGACATCCTGTGGAGGGCTTGGGTTTCAGGCAAGGGCTCTCACAGTTGATGTGATGGGCAGTGGGCATGAATGGGTCAGGGGCCATGGGAATGGAAAGGAAAGGACCGTGGCAAAAGGTATTTGGAGGTGGAAGCAGGAGATGGGTAGGAGGGTGAGTGAAGAGTCATAGATGCGTGGAGGCTTACAGTGCAGATGTTCTACAGCTGGAACTACTATCTATCTGTTACATTGGGTACAGTGTTCCTCTCCAGAAATGACTACCGCTAACTACAAATCATGATAATTTACATACATACATTGTATGATATAATACTATAGGTAGTGTATGTATCATGATATTATCTATAACAATGTTACAAATATTGTATATATCAAATCTAATTGCTTTTATTACAGTTCTGTGATTACCTGGTTTAAATCTGGAGTCGGACCTGTTCACATCTCCATTCTTCCAGCAAACCTTTATGGAGTGCCCACTGCATTTGAGGATTTGACCCCTATATTTCCTGTCTGGCCAACCTCACATCCCGAGTCAGTCCTTTAGACAGATAGAAGATCAGCTCTGCACTCAGAGTCACAAACATTGATTTTAAAGAAATCAAACAAAGAGTGTGATGGAAAACTGGAAGTGTTCCGTGTTGTCGTCTGTCATTCCTGCCTTTGCCAAAAACAAGGATGGAGGGCAGCCTAAATCTCAAACCCATTCAGCTTGTGCAGTGCCCAGCATTCACATCTGGCCCAATGAATGTCAGAGGAGAATAAGAAAGGCCCATTAACTTGCAGAGGACATGGGATCAAACCAATAAAGCGTGGTTCATATTTTTCTATACAGTGACCTCCTCTCCAAAGCAGGGCCCTCATTAACCTAACAGCTGTCCTAATGTGGCTTTAACCCGGTGACTCTTTACATTCCTTATGGCTTCATTAGTTCCCTTGAGACACATCATGTCTTGCACCATAGCTATGATCTACGGCCTAACAAATTCCCTACAACACCCGGCATATGGATCTTTTACTTAACACAGCAGGAAAAAGAAGGGAGTAGTTAATCACTGATTAAAATGCCAGAACAAAATCCTTTAGTTTTTAGAAGGATCTGGGAAAGCAGTAGCAACGTCAGCTCCCTTTGAGTGATAGCCAGAAAGTGTGAGTTAGTTAAATTTGTGGCACCTGGGAAAACCAAACACCCAATGAAAAAAACCCCTCAAACAAGTCTACATGCTTTTTTTTTTCCCCCGAGTAAAATATTTCTAAAGTCTTCTGGATAGAGATGACACTAAAGCTATAAAAACTTAGGCCTTTGTCAGTATTTAATTAAAATTTGTTTAGCCCGTAGCTCTGTTGTGTTTCTCACAGCCAAATCTGAGGACACAATCTGAGAATTATTGTACACCAAAGACTAATTTGCCTAATTCACCTCCTGGGTATTATTATGCAAATAATGGCAAGCATCAACGTTTAGTGGGGAAGAACGCAAATATTTATGATGTGCAAAAGTTTTATTAAATATTCCATCTAAGAACTCCACCAAACAGGGAAGTAACACTCTTTTACCACCAGGATAATGGAAGACAGCAAAGGAAGCTATTTGAGGAAACAGCATTTAAGTAGGAATCAGAAGATGTGGGTTTTGGTCTCAGCTTGCCTACTCTGTTCTGCTGAGGAAGTCACTTAATTCAATGCTGTAATCCTGCTGGCTTCAGATTTTTTTTTTCTTTTAATTTTAAAATATGGGGTAGGTTAGATCAGATGATCTCAGTCTAGGTCCACAGATGACCAGGATAATCATGGATGGACTTCAAGAAATCTGGGAGACTTGAGATTTGTACACACAATTTTGTGCCTTTGCCTCTACCTGTGTGTGTGTGTGTGTGTGTGTGTACAGACATTAACTAGGGGGGTATCCCTGCCTTTGTAATATTCTCAGATACCTCTGCTCCCTCTCCTATCCCCCAATTAAAAATAAGTAGGTACAGGACTTATCATCAGTAATTGGAGATTCTCATAGAAGCCCAATAGGGATTGATTGATTGACTGATTTTAATTCCAGTACAGCTAACATGCAATGATATATTAATTTCAGGTGTATAATAGAGTGATTCAAAAATTCTATATATTGTTCAGTGCTCATCACAATAAGTGTACTCAGTCCCCGTCACCTATTTCACCCATCCCTGCACCCACCTCCCCTCTGGTAACCATTAGTTCGTTCTCTGTAGTTAAGAGTCTGTTTTTTGGTTTGTCTCTTTTTTTCTTTGTTTTGTTTCTCAAATTCCACATATGAGTGAAATCATATGGAATTTGTGTTTCTCTGACTGACTTATTTCACTTAGCATTACATTCTCTGGATCCCTCCATGTTGTTGTAAATGGCAAGATTCCATTTTTCTTTTATGGCTGAGTAATATTCCTTTGTATATATACGCCCCACCTTTATCCGTCTATGGATGGACACTTGGGCTGCTTCCATAATTTTGCTATGGTAAATAATGTTGCAATAAACATAAGGGTGCATATATCTTTTCAAATTAGTGTTTTCATATTCTTTGGATAAATAGCCAGTAGTGGAATTACTAGGTCATATGGTAGTTCTATTTTTAATTTTTTGAGGAATCTCCATACTGTTTTCTTTCTTTTTTTTTTAATAACTTTTTTTTTTTTTTTAAGATTTTATTTATTTGACAGAGAGAGACACAGTGAGAGAGGGACCACAAGCAGGGGGAGTGGGAGAGGGAGAAGCAGGCTTCCCACTGAGCAGGGAGCCCGATGCGGGGCTCGATCCCTGGACCCTGGGACCATGACCTGAGCCGAAGGCAGGCACTTAACGACTGAGCCACCCAGGCGCACCCTTTCTTTTTTTTTTTTTTTTTTTTTTTAAAGATTTTATTTATTTATTTGACAGAGAGAGACACAGCGAGAGAGGGAACACAAGCAGGGGGAGTGGGAGAGGGAGAAGCAGGCTCCCTGCAGAGCAGGGAGCCCGATG